GCTGGCGGGGGCGGGGCTTGGCGGAGGAAACTGAGGCAGGAGGCAAATGTCCCGGAGGAGCAGCCGGTTGCCCGCAGTGGGGTCTCGGGCGTCCGGACCGCCGGTCTGAATCTTCTGGGAGTCCGTATGTCTGAGCACCTGGGGAGGAGGGGCCTTGAGCTCCAGAACCACGAGGCCGCTGGAGACCCGGACCCTTGGTCTGAGGGAGGAGGCAGCTGACACCCAGGACTCCCGGTCTGAGGGAGCAGGCAGCTGAGGACCTACACTCCCGGTCCTGGTTGGGTCACCATGCGCCCCTCGTCACACCCCACCTCCCCGCTCCCCACCTCGCAGCCAGGGCAGGCAGCCGCTCCAGGTATGTGCGGTGGAAGTCTTGGACGGGCCCTGGCCTGTCCTGTGTGGAGAGAACATTCCAGGAAGCTGCCTCGGGGACCCGGGGCTTCTTGAACGTGGGCCCTCCGGGACCCGGGTGTCCAGACCAGCCCCGCCCCCGCCCTGTCTGGGAGATGAATGGGCCGAGGACGTAATCTTTTCCAGCCTCTCCCCTCCCCTCTCCTGCCCCCATCTGCTTCCCATCCCAGGCAGGAGCCATCACCTGGGCAGGGAAGGGGCCCTCTGGAAAGGGGGCGTGGCCTCGACTCGGGTCCCCTGCACTCCTAGAGGAACGCCGGGAAGGGGAGTGTCCTGGGGTTCATGCCCCCACCTCCGCCTGCCTACGTAACCTGCCTGTTCCCTTCTTCCCCTAGGTGGCTGCTTCCTCCCTCTCCTGAGATGTCAGGAAGGAAGGGGTCGCCTGTGTCCCCCCAAGGGGCCCCCTGGAATCTGGGGGCCCCCAGCCCGGGAGCTCGGAGGCGGAGGAGGTGCTGACAGGTCTGGTAACCACCTAGTCCTCTCCACGCCACCCTTTCCCAGAACCACAGAAACTGCAGTATCCACACCCCCACCTGCGTCGTCCAGCCCGAAGGCGATTTCACAGACAGGGAAATTGAGGCCCTGCCCGAGAGACTAGTGTCTTGCCTTAGTGGCAGTTTTGAGCCGAACCGGGTCTCCCTCGGATTCTAGGACATGGCCTTTCTCAGAATCTTGGAGCCTCACACCTCCTCCAGGTTGCAGGACTTAGGGTTCCTCGGGGCTGTAGAGGTGGTAGGGCAGAGTGGAGTTGCTCAGACAGGGTTCAAGTCCCACCTCTGGCATCTGTTAGCTCTATGACCCGGTACAAGTCACTGACCTCTCTGTATTTTCCCAATTGTTGGCTATTATTAATAATATTAGAATAATTATGATTAATCTAGAAATTGGGCATTATCCAATCCTAGAATATAGGGTCCCCCACGGCTCTGGCAAGTAGGTGCCTAAGTTATTACCCTCTTCTCTAACTCCAGCCCCCCGTCTCCATCCTCAGGTGCTCAGCGAGATGCTCCCCCACCCCTCATGCTCCCTCCCCATCCTCCTCCTTTGCCTCCTCCCCAGTGTCCCAATGGAACCCCATCCTCCACCCTCACCACTGCCCCCTTTTCCAGCCCCTGAGTGGGACCTCCTGTCCCCCCGAGTAGCCCTGTCGAGGGGCACCCCCACAGGCCCCCCTCTGCTCTTCCTACTGGAGGCTGGGGCCTTCGGGGAGCCAGCCGGCATCCCGGCTAACCGCAGTCGGCGAGGGGTGAGCGAAACAGCACCAGCAAGTCGCCGGGGAGAGCTGGCCGTGTGCGATGCGGTCAGCAGCTGGGTGACAGACCGCCGGAGGGCCGTGGACCTGCGCGGGCGCGAGGTGGAGGTGCTGGGCGAGGTGCCCGCAGCTGGCGGCAGTCCCCTTCGCCAGTACTTCTTCGAGACCCGCTGCAAGGCTGACAGCGCTGGGGAAGGTGGCCCAGGTGGAGTCGGAGGGGGCTGCAGGGGTGTGGACCGGAGGCACTGGGTGTCTGAGTGTAAGGCCAAGCAGTCCTACGTGCGGGCGTTAACCACTGATGCCCAGGGGCGTGTGGGCTGGCGATGGATTCGAATTGACACTGCCTGCGTCTGTACACTCCTCAGCCGGACTGGCCGGGCCTGAGGCCCATGCCTGAGAACTGGTCAAGCGGAGGAAGACAGCTGGATGCTGAGGGACCTCAGGGGCTCGGGGCCTCAGTTCGGGAACCTGTCATATGGTCACGAAATCACAGCCCTCCGATTTTGAGAGCTCAGTCTGTGTAAGACAGGCAGTGAACCAAATGGGGTTTTGAAGGATGAATAGGAGTTCTCCTGCATGAACTCGAGGGTCACGATGAAGATGATGGCCAATTTTTTCTGAGCGCCTACTCTTTATCAGCTCTAATACACAACTTTGTCAGATCAACTCTGGTGGATGTCACTGTTGGAGGTGCTTGGCTTCTAAGTTGCTGACCATGTGATCACAGAGGACATCACCTTGCCCATCCTGGAGAGAGTGACAAGGAGGAGATATGTCAAGAAGTGGGTGGGGGAGCATAAAAACTGGAACATGTAAGCAATTAGCTGGGAGCTAGGGTTTGAATGGGAAATTGACTTGGTCAGATGGGGCAAGAATGTTTTGAGGTAATGAGCTACCTGTCACAGCAGGAGCACAAGCAAGATTGAATGACGGGAGCTCAGGATCCTAAAGAATTTGGCCCTAGTGGGGAGTTGGAGTCAGGTTTCTATAGCCTTTCCCACACTGGGAAAGAAAGGAACCTTAAAATTGTTCAGCTTGAGTAGGGCATGAGGTTCTGATCAACTGGCCTGATCCCTAGTTAGGATCAGGGGTCATTTGGCCATGATAAGCCTTGAGTGGGCCAGGAAAATCCAAGAGGAGGAGCCCCAGAAGCCTGAATGAGGGGGTCAGTGGGACTCTGGCCCAGGCTGCAGAACGCAGCCTCAATTTTCCGTGTCTGAAGAAAGGGTTGGTGGGCCGAGATAGTGGGGGGCTGAGGAGGCAGAGGCCTTGACCAGAAGGTCTTCAAGGTGAGGAAGCAACGAGGTGGGGGGCGGGGTCAGGGGCAGACTCCATGTCCTCAGGACACCCCTTCATGTATTACCACTCTGTAGCACACACATTTTTTAGGACCAGCTTCGGGCTGAGGACTTAGAAATCCTCGTCCCCCACCAACACAGAC